TATCTTGTATTATTAGATATATTATTATAAAACATGCTTTAGTTAAGGAGTTATTGATACTTCAAGTGCAAAATGATGATATAAAACCTTGATGAAAATGCACTTTTAAGTACTAATCATATAGCTATTTAAAATTTTTTGCATAGTCAATGACATGCTCAATTACATCTAAGATATACTTAATTACATCTAAGAGTAAAATATTGATTTCAACCTTCCTAAAATTTCATTTTTTTTTCTTATCTGTTGTTACGTGTAACCTAAAAGAACTAAAAGAAAAAAATGGAGTTAGGAATTGAAAGGTTTAGAATTTACCTTAGGTGGGATGGAAATCAGCTCGGTTAAGTTTGGAGAAGTTTTAAAGGTTCGACTATAAGTGAGGATGTTTCATGCTCAACTTTTTTTTATCCTCCAAAGTCATCAATGCACTTTTTAGGTCCTCTCAATGATTTTTTACTCCTCAATATGATAGTTAAAGTATTCTCCCTACTCGTGAAGTCAACTTTCTAGAACCTTGTGATTCTAATTTACTAACAATATTAGCAAGTTGTCCTACTTGTTTTTCCAAGTTTTGGATACTTAACCTTATTTCTTGTTGAAATTCCATTATATTTTGTTGTTTTGTCAAGGTAGTAGATGTAAATGATTTTATCATCTCTTAGATTGTGTAATAGTCCGAAACTGAAAGTCTGACTTGATAATTGTTAAAAGATCCCAACATATCCTTTTAATTTGAGGGTAATTTTTTTATTTATTTACCAAAAATTCAACAGACTTTTGTTTGTATTTAGGATATCCCAAGTTATCAACTAGTATCAATTTACTCAATCAACCCATCATCACAAGATCCTATAATTTCAGACCTTGCATGAAACATCATAATTCACACCTTTTACAATCCACAATATATATATATATATTTCTTTCATATTCAAAATACACTATAAAGCCATGTTCTCATCCTTTGCTAGCAAACACAAATTCCAATCTCAAAAGGGAGAAACACTCCTCCTACAAACAGATTTATCCCACTCAAACACTGTTATTCCAAAAGCCATCCAATAAAAAGACATATCATTTTCAGAAGATTGGTGACACAACTAAAAGATTGATGTCTTCTTCCAAGTGCAGGAGTGTTGAAGTAATAAATAACCCGGCAAGACCGGGGTCGAACCACAAGGAGGTTAATTGTACAAATTATAAACATTTATAAATAACAACAACAATAACAACAATAATATTAGTAGCAATAATAATAATAATAATAATAATAATAATAATAATAATAATAATAGTAGTAGTAGT